TGATGTTGTTTTCATGTTTTTGTCCGTAGTTTGATCATGTAATATGAAAGAAGGTGCCAATTGATAGTAGATGGCGTTATTATCTTAAAATTGAAGAAAATCCATATGGGACTGATATGCGATTATAGGCAGTACACTTCATACAAATCACTAAAGAAGCGCAGCAGCAAAACTAAAATCAGTTTTCCAGTGTGGCCTTCTTTGGTCCATGACTTTTGAGACAAAGCTGATCACACTAAAGGCCTGTGTAGAGATCAAAGCGAAGTAAAAATTTCACATAAAATACTTGTTTTGTCACCAGCGTGTAAAATGTAATTAACAAAAATTTCACTTCGCTTGGAACTGTAAACAGATACGATCCAGCAAAAACCAATGTTGTGGATCTCATCTTTTTCCCATACGTTTACTTTTTTTCACGCATGCATGCACACAGCCTAAGCACCAGCAGAATTCCGAATATATGTTGAATAGAAAACTATCTTCGTAGTTTAAGGACAGTTTAATGCAAGCATAAGTTCCAGAAGAAATACACTAATTTAGAAAGAAGAAGAATCTTGCCGTTCAGTGGAAGAGTTTGAATTGATCCACTAGGTAGCCAGTATACATCTTTAATGGTAATCCACTGCTGCAAATTTCAAAGAACGGCTCCTAATGAATTGTCTTACATATTTGAAAGCTTACCACTTTATTTAATACCGTCCTACCGAAATGAGTAATCTCTCAATCTGGTACCGACCGTACACGGCCCAGCTAACACGGCACAGCGGCGGGGGCGGAAACTAATTGTTATCCAATGAGCGATGTTGATTCAATTAGAGCAAATAACCGCTAAGCGACACGGTGCATTAGAGAATTAGAGAAACTACCGGCAGTAGTAGATACGGGAATCGAGACGGGATATAAATGCAACACATACAACAAATGCCCGGATGCCCTGGACTTATAAACAGCCGGTAAGTCCAGTTCGCTCTGTAGGACCATTCCTGTACTGTACATATCTCCAACGACGCCAACGACGGGCAACACGGCCGGCGGTGGCCGGTGGTAGCTTTCTGGCTCGAGTGCATGCATGCATGTTTAGAACTAGATCAGCAGAATGACACGAACGAATTATCCTTCGACGGCAATAAAAAGCGACAAAATTTGAACTCGATCCACCCGACCGACAGAGCTGTATGCATATCTACAGCCATACGCAGACGACATCCTCCCCTATAAATGCTGCGATGGTCCAATCTATCGAGCCCAAGAGGCGTCCGTAGGCCGAGCCTGCTGCACTATTATTGCTGTTTGTTGGCGATGCATACGAGAGAATCTCGCAATTATTGCAATGTCGTCGCCAATATACACCGAGCGAGGAGACTGCTTGTCCTGACTGGATGCATCATTCTCTGATGCCAGATCCGCATTTTTTTTTGCATCCTGCATATACGTACGGAGTTTCTCCTTCCAAAAACCGATGATGGCCTCGTAGTTGAACTATCTAGCCGACGAAAAGCAATAATACGACGAAGTCGATACTATTAAAGTGCATACATATGCTACCGTGTGACTCCACATCCTCTTAGGTATTCCCTCAACACGTGGAAGAGCCCGGCTCAGCTTGGGATCCCACGTGACGCGAAGTCTTGTGCTTTGCCGTTCATATACTATAGTAAAGTGAATGTTTTGAAGTAGTATACGTACACGGTAAAAATCGGTCCCATTAAGGTTTCATGGATTTTTCGTCTGCCCTTGAATCATCCTGTCAGGATATGCACCGGAAATTGGAGGTCGGACTTTACTGTGTACAGTCTCGTGAATTATTGACCGATGTGACATCAATCCCCGTACTACGCAAGAGTGATATGAATATAATTATTATTTGCACATCTGTGTACGTACACCACCTCCGCTGGGGGATCTGGGCAGACTATCTGATGTTTTCTTCCTGAATGAAAGATAAATGTTGTTATTTAATACACTCGCTTCACCGCAATTGTACTCTGGAACCTGCAGAAAATGACCAAAACATACCTGATTCTGTAGCCTGAAAGGAAAGGGCAAACTTCAATAATTTATTTATTAATAAATTAATATGGAATCTTTTTTCAGCCATGAAGTATACATAACTATCTCCACGCGTGGTAGCTTCCTACCGTTTTTATATTACGGGACGGATTCCATTCTAGATAGAGAATCCCTTTCATCTGACGGTCATGCGGCTGCTGCCATCGCCAATGGTGCACATAAATGATTCAGTTTTTCAGTGCCCGGAATTGCTTCATTATTTCATGTCGTGGAATATTCAATAATAAAAATAGTTAATAGCGCAATCATGAGTGTGCAACCACAAGCGGGTGCATAATTGGCATTTATGTGACTTAAATGAGAAATGAATGGTAGCGCTGCTGGTTTGATCTGCCAATAAATGAAAATCGACGGTCACGACAGAGACGTGAATCTGACTTAGAGATAGACTGGAGTAAATAGTTTCTTTTTAAAATTTGTTTTGTACTATATTTAAGATCCACTTTTGCAGAGATGTGGCAAAATTGAACTTTTTTATTTTTGTAAAACAAAAGTAGGCAAATTTTTATACAACTAAAAATAAGTTTCCGGTCATGATTATTTTTTGTCAAAAGTGAAATTACGCTCTGATGAGACAATAAAACCTCACCTCAAGCTTCTTCCCTGACTCAATCCATGGAAAATGTACCCCTCTAACCTCGGGTAAGCCATGAGTATTCGACCCAATATCTACTAGACATAGAAATTAGTGAATTTTGTTACAAACAATGAACAATGAATTATCGGCTCCGTAAAACTAACGCTATTAAGCATTCAAAAGAAACGAACTAGATAAAAAAGCAAAGTTTGGTCTACAGCTAAGTAGTTGAAAAAAAAATCATAACAACTACAAAACTACAGAGAATTTCCATACCAACTGGCAAATCGACACCACGCTACCTTCTCTGATTTTTTTTTTATCAAACAATGCATAGAGTTTTTCTATCGGAAATAGCGTGGTCAAGTTTGTATGCCGATTTACAACTACCTGGTATTTCGATCTGTATTGAGGTGCCCAACAAAAAGCTCTTCCGTAGCGAACGTCAACCACGTTAGTTCCAATTTCCTGGGAAACAAACGTAGAAGGATTTCTGAGTGAAAGTTACAAGAAATTTCTCAGAGGAGCCAAAAGAAACTTCTAAGGAAAAAGTTTGAATTAAGGTGATATGACATGCACAATAAGCTTTGCAATATGCAATAAGCTTGACATGCGAAGAAGAAGAAAGAAAAAGAAGTATCTGCTAGCAGAAAATATACAATAACAAAACTGCTTCGCAGCAAATATGGTGATGCAAATTTAATGCCTGAAATCGCAATAGTGTCCGAGGATATCTCACTAGAAAACTTTAGCAGACGACATTTCTATGCGAAGCCAAAACGACTAATCAAGGAAGTCGGAAGAAACTACCAATGAAAGTTTTAAGAAATTTTCTGAAGAAGTTGGATGAACCTTCCAGTGGAAGTCAGAAGTACTTCTGGACAGGCATGGAAAATCATTTGCATTCATTTCATACATTCATTTACATTCATTTGCCTCCAACTTTTTTCATCTACAGCATTCCGCAAAATGATGTATAGAGTTTTGTAGGTTTTGTTATTTGCTACAACTTTTGCTCATAACTCAAATCTTGATCTCCTATGCATCACGAACTAGAGCGAGCAGACCTTGTTACTGTTTTTCAGTGAATGTAAAATACGTTCACTGAAAAACAGTAGTGGCTTCTGTTCGCTCTGGTTCGTCATGCATAAGAGATACGGATTTGACTTGTTAACAAAAGTTGTAGCTAATAACAAAACCTACAAAACTCTATACATCATTTTGCGGAATGCTGTAGATGAAAAAAGTTGGAGGCAAATGAATGTAAATGAATGTATGAAATGAATGCAAATGATTTTCCATGCCTGTCCAGAAGTACTTCTGACTTCCACGATAGCTTTTTTTGACTTCATTTTGCGGAATGCTGTTTAAGGAAAAAGTTAGAGACAAATTAATGTATATGAATGCAAATGATTTTCCATGCCTGCTTCTGGAAGAAGCTTCCGATCAAATTAGATGAAAATTTTGAGGAAAGTTGGGAGAGACTTCTGGGACAATTCGGATAAAAAAGTCGGAAGACAAAGGCAGCTTCTACAGATGCTAAACAAAATTAAATCTGATGATTAACTTTATACTTTTCTGATTTCAGAACTAAAATATTTCCTGATTCCCGAAAATTCCGGAGAAGAGCCATCATCTGTTTCCCGTTTCCCGGGAAACCAAAAAATCAGAAAATGTAGTTAAAGTTCAGGAAAGTTTCTTGAAATGTAGAAAATTCTGAAGAAGTTCTGCAAAGTTTATGAAAGTTTATGAAAGTTTATTGAATTTTATAGCATTTAAGAAAACTTTGTTAACGTTCAGTGAGCTTTATAAATTTTTCAGCTAAATTTGTGCATATTTTTTTCAAATAGTCTCATCTATTACCGAAGACACCAAACCGATCGGACAAACAGTTTTCGAGTAATAATTTTCTGAAGATAAGCTTGATATTTTTCAACCAAATAAAAAAATACAAAAATAAACTGATTTGCGAATTCGTAGGGAATTGCTCATACTGAAAAGATCGGATAACAATGCTCTATAAAGGGTGAAACGGTCAAAAATTGGTCGATTCAAATTTGAAGATTTTTTTAAATCGTGCATTTAAAAACTTGAACACCCCTCATTTTGTAGGTCTGTTAAGCAGATTTAATTTTAAGCAGAAAAAATTGTCAAAGTTCCCGAAAAAATACTTGTTTTGGCAGGCTATTTGCACCTGGCGGCTGAGGAGCGAAATTTTATTGACAACATGAATTGTCAATCAAGATATTTATGAAAAGAAATGTTTGCAAAAACGATTTTTGCATTTTGTTTAAAGAAACACAGTTGTTCCGTGCTGCTTTGACTAGAAATGCCTTGCTGTCACTACGGGAAAATGGCTCAGGAACGGTATACCGTCAACAACGTGCAAGTCGTACCCAAAGACAAAAACCCTCCAAACACGCCGGAGCTGCACCCAATTGAAAAATATTGGGCAATCGTTAAGCGGAACCTCGAGAAAACTCAGAAAACAGTTGGACATGAGAAACAGTTGAAAGAAAATTGGCGTTCAGCATCAAATAAGGTTGATACAACAGCGGTACAAAATCTGATGGAAGGTGTGAAACGTAACCCGACAGTTCGCATTTGGAAAATCGGAAGGCTAATCGATTATTTTTTTTCTATATTTTGTGATCATTGAACTTTAAAAAGAAATATAGATTGATCATTTATTCAATAACATACTCAGTGTGCACTTAATCATGGTTGACCAATTTTTGACCGTTCGACCTTTTACTTTTTAACGCTTAATCAAAGCTCACAAAGTTGTGGTATCAATTCAAATTAGACTGTTTTTTAACATCGTGCAAAATCGCTCAAAATGATTGTTGCAAAAACGATTTTCTTGCCTCTGCTTTCTGCTGCTCTGTTTGTAACAAATGTGCATACATTCAACAGGTTTGAAGTATTTATTCCACATAATATCATTGATTATGCTAAATTTAGAATTCGTTCAAATAGTTCGTCCATTTCAATGTTTTTTGCAATTATTATTCAAACATATCGTGGTAAAACAGTTAACACATTCTGTAATATTCAGTAATGGCATTTATTGAGCATTAATGACACATATGTATGGAAGCTTTTAGCGAATAAATTGGCTGCGTTTATTTACGATCTTTCGAGATCTAGTAACATAACAATATTGAGCCATAATAGATAAATCTTACACAAAACAATCTAACATGCTGTTACTGACCTCAACCTTTGCATGAAATTTTTTAGATCGTTTTTGTTATGCTAGTCATGAAGATTTTTGTATAAAATTTGATGAAAAATGGACATGCCTTGTATTTAGAGGAGGGGAATAAAAAATATCGCAGAAATTTACATGTTGTACACAGTGGTAAGGAATCAAGAAAAGTTTTCTTTAGTTAAAATCAATAATCAAACAGTAGCGGCTCCGGTGGTGTAGTGGAAGGGAAGGTAGGGAAGTAAAGCCGTTGGTCCCCGGTTCATGAGTTGATGGGTCGATAGAAAGGGTCCAGGTGTGGGAGGTGCCTCCCTGGCGTCGGTAGCATTGGTGCTCAGCATGGAAAACAAGATTGACGGAAAACAAGAAAAAAAAATCATACTGTGGTTTTTGGTGCAACAACTAAGCTAAAAATATTCAAAAAAAAAATTATATAATTTTCTATTGATTTGGTTGTTCGACTGGTTTTATGGAGATTTCGTTTTTATGGCTTTCTCAGTCTAGGGTAATTCAAAGTTAGTTTTGTATTGCCCTGAAAAAAAAGGGCAATGCAAAACTAACTGTTTGAATTACCCTAGACTGAGAAAGCCATAAAAACGAAATAATTTTCTATTGTCACGGGTGTTTCTTTAAGTGTACTTTTTTTTATAGTATACACTGTTCTCCACATTTCACGGCAACTTTATCACAAAATTACTTTTCAATGCAAAAATTTTCGAAAAAAAAATCTTCAGAAATAGACCCTTCCTCCCAGAACATGACCCAGTCCCTGTTTGACCTCAAATCGCTATAAGTATCTAATAAATAATGTTTTTGACGAGTTGGGGTAGTTTAATATTTTTGGCCAGTTAGAATGAAAAAATATCCCACTGTGCATCGTAGAAGTTCGGGAACCATAATAGAAATTTAGAAAACAAGGTAGATATTATGGAAACTTCGTAGAGCTTCAAAGATTCAGGGAACTTTAAAAATTGCCAATGGCTGAAAGTCTCGAAAAAATATTGAAAACTACTGTGAAGAAGTGGAATCTTTGTGAATGTCTATAAAGCTTAATACATTTTCGGGGAACATTATTTAATTTCACGATACCTCAAAAATGTTCAGAGATCTTTTGTAAGGTCAGATGTATTAGTATTAGATTAGATGTCTCGACGTAACGCAATTACCGTATACGTTTTGGTTGCCGAAATCAGTCGATGGGTGTCGAAGCCGACATTTACCCTACTTCAGGGAAATCCAAGTTCAATAAACTTTCTGGAACTTTTTGGTAGTGCAGCGAGCTTAGCAGCAGTTTGAAAAACTACATAAAACTTCAAAAATATTTCGTAAAAGTTCATCTAACTTCGTAGAAGTTCGTCATGCTGATCAGAACCTCAGTAAACTTTATATAAGCTCAGGATTTTTTTTGAATAGTTCCGAAAACTACTTATGGCTTCAGGAAACTTCGTTTCAGAGATCTTACTCTTTCGGAACTTCCTGGAAGTTTATGAAAATTCCATTTAATTTCAGGGAGCTATTCAGATGATCAGGAATATTCGTTCAAAATGTTGAGGGTCTTCCCGTATCTTTGAAGAAGCTCATAAATGTGCTTGTTAGAATTAAGAGAGCTTAGCAACATATGTAAACTAGATTAAGTTGCACTACAAAAATATCTACACATAATTTCACAAGTCTTCAACATGAAGACATATCTTCAAATTTGGCATCCTTGGGACGGGTAGCATCATGAAACTACAACAATTAAGCTAGGCCTAAGTTTTCATGATATTACCCAGAGTTTACTAAAAATCTTACGGCATCGAACAAAATTTTACTGTGTTCGTTACTGCCATAATCAATTTTGTGACTTTGTTTATTTGCGGTTTCTTGATCATTTAAAATAATATTTGTATTCTTGCTCAAAAATTTGACTAAATCAAACATGATGGAGCTATTTTTCTGGTTGTTAATAGCAGGGTGGCAAGTGAAATTTAATTTTGAAATTCCTGGTTTTTCCCGGTTTACTCACAGATTTCCCGGTTTATTTTTTTCCTTGATTTGTTTTCCGTGCTGAGCACCAATGCTACCGACACCAGGGAGGCAGCTCCCACACCTGGACCCTACCTATCGACCCATCAACTCATGAACCGGGGACCAACGGCTTTACTTCCCTTCCGAAGAAAGGCGTAATCAGAGATGTTATGACTCAGAATATCCCGGCGGCGCCGACTGGGATTGAACCCAGGCCTGCTAGGGTGAGAGGTAATCACGCTTACCAAGAAAAAGGAAAAGAAGAGGCGAAGAAGGAGATTTGAAATATGAATTTTAATACAAATATATCACTATTCATAAAACATGAACTTATTTCTATACAACTTGACACCAGGAGTTTAATTATACAATTATTACAAAAAAAAACATTAAAAAACCCACACACACAAAATATAAACTAAACACAAAGTCAATCAAACTACAGTCTAATGTTAACATTCTTCAAGAAAACCTATAAGAGTTTCATAAACTCCCGATCGCGTCTAGCCAAAATATTCCGAACTGGAACATTTGGTTGTCTACCTCGAGCCCTAAGGGAATCGTATAGCTCAGATCTGACTCCACGATGCTCAGCACAAAACTAAATAATGTGATCTGCGTCGTGGTAACCTTGTCCACATTTACATAGATTAATGTCCCCCAGCCCAAACGGGTTCTTTGCCATCGCTCCAAACTCCCTTCATTCCCATTTATTCAGCTGACGAGCGACTGTTGACGATAAATGAAGAAAAAATCATTGTAGGCGATTTGTCACTCGTTGATATCGCCATCAATAGCGCCCACCTTTGCAAGTGAGTCCACCAACTCGGACCGTGGACATTCGGTTATGTTGACGGCGTTTCGAGGATTCAATCTAACGCCTCAGCCTCTACGATAGGGATAGGACGCTCGCTCAACTGCTGTACCAGTGTGTCGATTCTATCCATTAGCTGGTGAGCTCTCAGTCGGTGAAGCTCAGAAGTTTCCATAATAGCAGCTACATGGCGGCACACAGAGGATCTTCCGCCTTTCATGAACGTGATCAGTCTACCAATCGCAGTTCATTTGGCCTGGATCCGCCGTTCTAACTTACTTTTCCATCCTGATGAATGCGGGCGTCTTAGTGGAATACCTGTATTTCGTCTACAATGTGCAGACTTCTTCATTGTCTTGTACTAATACTCGACTTTTTACTTTTCCATGTTGATTTACGCCTTTCTGGGATTTGTTGGGACGTGTCTCCTCTTATTAATTTGTTCTGAAACTCTTTACCGGATTTCTTTCGATTATCAAAAAATTCCTTAGAATTGGTGGATAAAAAGAAGTTGGGAATCATGCTGAATATCGTAATCAGCATCATGCATGGAATCATGCATAATTAACAAGTGTGCAAAAACGAAAAAATGATCTAAGCAATTGTTAAAGAAATCTTAGATCTAACTGAGATCCAGAGAAAAAAACATGTTTCTAAAGATGCCGAACAGTAACAATTTTTACAGAAAACCCTTATCGTTTACTAAAGGGAACCTCTCAACACTTCTACCTACTTACATTTTGCAATGAACAGGTTGAGCATCGGAAAATTCCCAGGGAAATTCTTTTACCACATACCATATTTCAATTCGTATCAAGATTTTACACTAATTGCAAAATTGATATTTATTATCGTGTTTAAATTTACTATGACAAATTGGTTAACAAATTTCCCAGTTAAATTAGACCACGACATGGTACGTTCGCTTTGGTTTTAAAGTAAGCTATTATAGAAAAATGCACTATGGAGGTACTTCATCGTACATTACGAACTGCATAATGCAAAACCATATACATCTGGTCGCTAGACCACACCGAACGGCAGCCGTTGATATGGAGTTAATTTTTTCCGCTGTACATTCCCCCGCAAACAGCTTTGATTATCTTATGTTATGCACTAGCTTTCGTGTCACATATTGAAAACACGAAACGCGGTGCACACGAACGATAAGGTACTTCGTCGAATGTTATTTTATTTTTGTTGTTGCTTTTTCCTCCATTGCTCCTTTTCTTCGTCTAAGCGCATCCGGCAGTGGTGTTCGCAGGTTGAGCTTTGTTTTGTTTCAAGGTTTAAACACAACAGTAGCTAACTGAACAACTCTGCCGGTGTCCTTAACTTTGTGAGGCTCGTTCATAGCGATACGGTTGTAATCAAAGTCTTGCCATCGAAAACGGAATCAAGCGGAAGTAGCACTGCACAATAAATTTGTATGATGTCCAGCTCCTCCTCGTTTCGTGCAAGTTTCCATCGTGTTAAGGCGAAAAACACTGACACTCGAAACATCTAGACAAACATGTGAAAAAGGTGATAGAGTAAACTTC